CGGTCGCGCGGGAGGGAGTCTCCCGCCTCCGAGCTATAATGGAAGGCGGGTCCGATGCTTTTCCCCTTCCCATTCCTCCCCACCCCCGCCCCAGCCTAAACTGAGGCTTCCTCCACCCGCCTCTTAATAACCAGCCCCCGCCACCCACCGCGTTCCGGGGACTGGACTTCTCCAAGTAGGACTTGCCAATCATATTCTGAAAACAGGTTTTGCGGAGGGAGCAATTGGAGGAGAGGGGGGGAAGCTAAAGGAACAAAGACCCGGGACGTGTAGGATCCCTGGGAAGAGTCCCATGAACCCATGGCAGCACGGGCGGGCCACGGGCGGGCAACGAGGTCTCTCTCCTTGGTTAGCTGCAGGTAGGGGGCCGAGAGACCGAACCACCCGGGCTAGTCTGGGGTCAGGGCTTGGCCGGAGTCCTTCCCAACATGCACCGGGAGGCGGCCGGGACCGACTGGGGGTACTCGCCCCGCTTCTTTTGTGCTGTGCTGGAGTGGACCTCAAAGCGTAGCGGTGACTAGTACTCTTTGGGGCTTTAGGACCCTCAGAGTCCTTCCTCGCACTTTCTCTTTCGATTCTTCAAGTAGTCTCCAGGGACTGGCGAAGTCATTGTTTTTCTCCCAAATTTATGCTTGAGGAAAGAGGCTTGTTTGTCCAAGGTGACCGAATCAGAAGAGGCCCAGAGTTTCGTCAGTCCTTAACAACTTCGTACCATTTATAGCACTTAGGGCTCTCTTGGGGGCAGGAATTGCCTACCGCTTACTGTCGTTTCAGTACACTTTGTCGTGTAAAGCTGGGATCTAACAGCTTGATAACAGGAAAAGGGAGGTCTTGGGACAATCCAGTGTTACCTGACTGTAAGCGGAAACTGGTGGCCTGATTGAATGAACTTGATCATCAAGATACACTAAAACCTGGGTTGTCGTTAACATTTGTAGGATCAATCTTGGAGTAGTGTGTACCCAGCACTGGGCTAACTTGTAAACCAGACACTGTAATTAGAAATGTACTTTGGGGCCCCTGCCTGGTGGCGCTATGGGTTAAAAGCACAGCACTATGAAGCTATATTTGATCACCCTTCAGGGAGGTGACCCACATGGTGTGGCAGGCCTCTCCTGACCTGCCCACTGCTCCCCTCAACAGCATATTTCAGCCCATCTGCCTGTTCTGCTCCCCACTCAGTCTCTGGTGAATCCTGTCATTTTCCACCTCTGGCCTGTACCCCAGTTCTGTATGCATAAAGTAAATAAATCTTTAAAAAAACAAAATCAAATGTACTTTGTTCATACCCTTGACTATGAAATCAACAGACTGTGATCATAGTAAAGGAGAAATTAGAAACAATACCGAGACTGTACTGTGTGGAACTTAACAGTGAATGCTGCTGTATTACAAGCGCCTGATCAGAGTGGCCTGACTTACTGCTAAGGTGGAGGCCTATGCTGCTCTGCTGCAAGTTGTTGGGTTCCCGAGAATGGGTTTCCTCTAGAAAAGCTGAAACAAGACATTCAAGGGTTGTTTTAAAATTTAAATTTGGGGTCCTCCCTGGTGGTGCAAGTGTTTGCACATCACTATGAAGCTATGTGCAGCCACTACAGCATGAGTTTAAACCCCAGCCAGCAAGGTGACCCACATGGCGGGGCAGACCTCTCCTGACCGGCCAGCTGCTCCCCTCAGCAGTGTATTTCAGTCCATCCACCTGTTCTGCTCCCCACTCTGTCTCTGGTGAACACTCTCACCTCCCCCCATGCTCCCACCTCGCCCCACCCTCCCAGTCTCTGGCCTGTATCCAGTTCTTGTATTCATAAATAAATCTTTAAAAAGAAAAACTAAAATTGATAATGTGCTTAGAAACCCTCTCTTGCGTGCATACCTGTTATGAAGCTGTTGTTCAGTGCCATCTCTCTCCCTTTTACTATCAATAGTATAAGGAGTTTATACCCACATTAATTAGTTTTAGGGATCCTAAATAAAACAGGATTGAAATACAAAATTCCTATATACTTGTAATAATTTTAGAAATTTTGTCATTTTTCTACGCATGTTCTTTCCATTATGCACACAAAATTAAACTCCATGGTAAATGAAATATTTGCTTCCACACTGCTTTCATTTTCTACAAATAAGGGGGGGGGAATGGGGAATGCAGGAAGACTCCTAGAGGCACAGGTTTTAGAGAAAGCAGGCATAGCCCACTTATTTCTTGCTTGAGTGCTTTTTCTTCGCTGTAAGTATCCTTCCTGAAGTCTTCCTAGACCCTTTTCTCCATGCTGTACACTTATGCTCACCTCAAAGGACAGTAAGTTCCTGTTAAAATGTTTATGTCCAACTAGGTCCTGCACCTCTTTTTGTTCATCTTTTTTGTAACCAGTACCCAGCAGTTCTGAGTCATAATAGTGTGACAGTGCAATATATTGGTATATATCAAATTGAATCATGCTTAGGAGATCCCATTACAAAACTTTGATCTCCAGGTGAGAGTGATGGGTAATGGATGGTAGAATTATTCCTAGTTAATGTCAGGGTTTGGTTTTGTTTTTCACATAAATTCTGTTTTTTTTTTTTTGGGGGGGGAGGGAAGATTTAGATTTACAGAAAAACTAAGCAGGGAAAAAGCTCTGTGTCATTTCTCCATCCTCCCCTACCATGTCACACAGTTTCCCGTGTTATTGGCAACTCTCTTTAGTGTGGTACATTTATTACCATCTGAATCACTATCCATGTATTATTAACTGAAGTTCATACTTTTTCTGTATGTGTGAATATATGTGCGTGTATGTGTATTAGTCTTACTCCATTATCTTTTTATTGCTATAGGATCTAATCAAGGGCATATCACACTGAGAAACCACATTTGCTTAAGGCGTCTCTTGGGACTGACAGTTTCTCAAACTTTCCTTATTCTTGATACCCTTGACAGTTTTGAAGAGTGCTAGTCAAATATTGTG